CAAAGCAGTGGATCTTAGATTTGTCATTATCATTAGGGTCCATGGACAGTGCAGAACCACTGAAAAGCTAAATGCTAATTGAAGTTTGCTTGCTTACGAGTTAAAATATAGTCAACAGTAGGTCAATTTTACTTGCTTCGTTACAGTACCCGGTATTTCAGAGGGTTTAAGAAAATGTATGCATTTTAAGCTTTTTCAAATTCTAGAATTAGGAGACTAATAAAATCCACAGATCAACACAACCTCGATTGAGACTAAACCCTCAATAAACACCAATCACCCCGATGATTATCACAGATCCAGCAGATAAAGTAACTCGTAATTCCCTACATGGGGTATCGTTGGACGAACCACACCACCACGACACATGAACCAAGCTAACTTACCACTTGCGAGGGACGTACAAGTCCACGAATTCACCGGCGTCGTTCTGCATCCTAATTCGTTTCTGTAACTGTCACCAAGTGACTTAAAAACAATAAGTAACTGTTAGCATTAGAATGCGTGATCTTTGACAAAAGCGCTTAATACAATGTAGCGTTCAGATGAAAATGTTTTGGTATAGTTATTATAAATCATTATTAAAAGGTACCTGGCCTACAATTCAAGTCCCCTATCATAATCATAATAGAATACCCTGAAATACTCCACGGCGTCAACAAGCAATGGAGTTACATGTACGCAACTAAGAAGCTCGTACGACGGCACAGGAGGGATATGGCTCTCGGCACACATGTGGTCTAGATGGGCAATTCTAAGTAGTTATAACATTCCTCATTTTATACAATGAAGAAACTCAGCAATGGGTTCGACTGTGTAGGATGTTGCCTTAAGAACACAACAAGCATCTTTGAGTATGGCATGACAGAAAAAGAATTACATAAATTAGCTTTAAACTCCAGAACACGGCATCACCTCACCTCCTCTCAGAAATGGCCGACACGGAAAGGAAGAAAGAAGGACCTGGAAACTGTTAGCAAGTATGTGGGCGCTCGAGACAACTACTTCCGCTGTCACGGTGACGCGTGCTAGGCGACTTGCTAATGCTTGGAATGACCTCATAATAATAAACGAAGTAAATAATACACTGGCATGCCAAAAAAGTCGCCGTTTGAAATTAAATAAGCAAATACTTAAGAACCAATAACAGGATTATTGCAGGGACTGGCAATAATTCATTTACTATTAACTAATAGTGCGTAGCTTTTCATTTCTTAAACAAGTATGTCTGAAGACGTATGCCGTGGTCGCGAAAAAAATGTTTTCAGAAGGGGCATCTTCTTATTGGCCTGTATAAAGCAAAGAAAACAACTAAGAAGATTGCTAAAAGCATCGGAATAGGGTTAAGAACTATCCAACGCATTAAAACCTGGAAGCGTAGTGGTAAACCGACAACTTCGCGTTAGAAATATGGTCTGAAAAATATCTTAAATGATAGTGACCCGATGGTAACTAAAACACTTCGTTAGGTCAAATCGTTAAAAACCTACATTAGAACTCACGGGCGTATTTAGTAATGAAAGTAAGAGCATTTCTAATCGTACATTACGACGAGAACTTGCAGGACTGGGACGAAATAGGTGTGTGGTCACACGAAACACTTGTTAGTGAGGCTAATCGGGGGAGGAAAAAAAAACTATAGTTTGCGTAAAGATTGCACTGTGGAGAAATGGAGGGGAAACGCTCATGTGGTCTGCTGAGTCAGCGATGGACCCGTCATGCGTAGTGTCCATTTATATGCCACTGGAGGCAGTGTTATAATCTGGATTACGTCAGATGGTCTGGGGGGCACTCTTCGTACGAGGACTGGTTTCGCATCGTCTAATCGTAGATACATTTATCCGGCTGTATCGGTTCTTCAAAGCCACTGGAGAATTGAATTAGCCAAACTGGATTAAATGATACGAGCTATTTGCAAGTCTGTGATCTCTTGGAAATGTATGGTATTATATATTAATTATAATTATACACTATATTAATATATAATGTTGGATAAGTGAGGACACAGTAGCTGGCCACACTTATGTAGAAGACGACTTCAACTAGTTTGACTAGTAATATGCAGAGCTGCCGATGAATATTATTTCTTCTCGACACTCAAAAAGCAATTCGTCCTGATATGCTAAATGGTCTTGACGAACATTCAGTCAGTTTGAAACGCTAGTCTTATTTGCCGAATAAATAAATGTCACTTAAATAGTGTGAAAACATTTTTTCTGTATTTTACTGTGACTTAAGCTACACGTACTCTATCTCACTTAATAATAATATTGTCCTTTTGTACAACTGTTTTATTTCATCCAAGGACTAAGGTTTTGTTGATAGACATTAGTGCTTGCCTTAAACTGTATTTTTTCATGTATTTTTATGTGCCCCTGGTACTACATTATTTGTATTTGTATTGTATTATACAGCAAAGCTCTGGTTCGATGGGTTTCCCAAGCAGACATCTTTTTTTAAATCTGTTATCTAATCTTGTTTACGTTGGATAAATCTGCTCTTAGTACGTTTGAGGTTATGGATTGGTTGCTGTGACATCCCGTCCAACAAGAGGTTTGATGAACAGAGAAATTCAGGATCTTGTCAAATCGTCAACAAATCTGGATAATGTATTAATCAAATATGAAAAATACCCTCCTGGGGGTGTTCCACGAAACAGGATTTCTCAGCAGTGTTAATTACGCTAGAGATCATAATTGTCCAATAGGAATTCTCCTTACCTAAACTCTAATTGGTAGATCCAAGACTTCTAGCTTCTGGCTGATATAAAAATATTAAAGAACAACTAGACCTAAATACATAACAAACCGTTATACAGATTATACTAATGTACTTGCAAACACATCCACTGATACACAATAGTAAACAAAACTCATCATTTTAGGAATCCCTTTCCTTTATCCAATTACTACATTTCATACAAATAAAAACTTATAGAAAAACAACTTCACAGACACATACTGTTTTAAAGCGTAAATGAGTTACAGCGATTTGAAATAAAACAGTAAGTCAAGTAATCAATCGTCAGAAAATGTATTTGGAAATTACTACTCTTAAAAGAAAAACATTTCAGTCAATTGTACGTTAATGTCAGATTTACAAAAATGGCTTTGGAAACTAACAACAGCTTATAAACTAAAGAAATACATGTCAAACATAAGTAAAAGAAAAAAAATCATGCTTATTTTTATTTAATCTGTCCTTTTTATTTTGTTTGTCCTTTTGTTTTACAAGCATGAGAGTATCATGGTTCACAATAATCATACTACCATCTGCCCTCAACATTTGTGCTTTAGAAAGATTTGGCACTGATTTTTAACCAACACCACTGGGACAGTATTACTCCATTTTTGCCTGGGGAGTTCCACTCATTACATCTTTTGTCACCTGTTTTGCTGTGAAGAGCTGGTGTTTTAAACAAACATTAAACAAAAATACATACATCACAAAACCACACACACACACAAATTCATCCACAAGCCCATAAATATCCTGCTATTGAAAAATCTTTCCAACACATCAGCATCTCTGTGCCTTCCTTAAATCCATGCTATTCCACACATGAAAAAAATCATACAGGTTCATTAGCATCACAATTAAAGGGTCAAATATATAAAAATCACAGTGTCTCAAAACCCATGGCCATTGGGGATGTGTCATTTGCAAATTTATTGCTTGGCTAGGTTAGCAACTGAGGCTGAGAGTATGGGCTGAGCCATCAACTGATTGTAACGTCTATAGGCACTGATCCATCTTTGGAATGGGAATAAAGGACAGTGATGCAATGGCCATTGACCCACACGCCTATAAATCAGAGGAGAATGTCTGCTTCCAGATAGGTATGCAGGGTGGGGAGCAATTCAGGCCCTTGTTGGAGTTGACTTCCATTTGACTGTATATAGGACAGGAGTCACAGCCTAACAGGACCCATTTACATAAATCTGCTCCTCAGAGGGAAATCTGGAAGTGGAAAATGAAGACGGAACACATAAAGACACTTACACTGAGTGGTCAGTTTATCAGGTATACCTGCATGTTACCATGTGGCTGTAACCATCGAGAGACAGAACACAGACAGGGACAAGATGTTCTCATACCATTTGACTCAGCACTGGAACCTGATCTGAGCAACTCTGTACAGGGTATGATTGTTGGTGTCAGACCTGGTATTCGCAGCAACTAGAAAACAGCCACTTGCGATTTTCACATACTGCAGTGTCCATCGTTTAAAGAGAAAGGCACGGCAACCAAAAGCCGTCCAGCTAACGGCATTTCTGGGGCCACAAATGCCTAGTTAATGAGAGGTCAGAGGAGAGCGGCAAAGCTTATTAAAGCTAATAGGAAGACGACAAGTACAATTGTAACAAAAAAACTTGCCTAGGTCTCCAGATGGCCTTTGACAGGCACTGATAACAGCTTGGCACAAGAACGGTGTGCAGAACGGTTCTTATGAATGCATCTACCCTTAAAGTGGTTCTGAAGGGAACAATAGGTCCTACCCAGTACTAGCTGTGTGTACATAACAGAGTGGCCACTGAGTGTCTGCATTCAGACTTCAGCAGGATGGTACCACGTTTACAGTAAACATTTCAGTCGTAAATAATCAGTGACATCACGTGACATCAGGTTCCACGGGGTATTAGAAATCAGCAGGCAGTCAGTGTGGGCCAGTGACTGTTTTCCTGTGACTCCCCATGTTCACCCCCCCAAACACACTGGACTGAGCCAGCTGGGGTGACCTTTATGTGATCCCAATGTTATAAAATGCTTCAATATAAAGAAAATGCTTCTGCAATGACTGGTGTTTATGCTTAAATTCACCTGCGCTGCAGAGGGTTTCCAAGAGCCTGATTTCAGTCACTAGTTCAGTAAGGATGTCACAAATTGATATCAGGTAATAATTAATAGCATTTAAATGTAATGAAACCAACAAGTTACAGACCTATTTGGGGGGGGGGGGGGACTTACGAAAGTTTTGAAATAAAAGTCAATGAAATGTGTTGACTGTCACAAGACATTCAGTTTTAACCCCCCCCCCCCAAGGAACATAAAAAAATCAGCAAGGACCAAATCAAAACATGGTTCAGGGGTAACATCATGCTTGGGAAATTGTACTTAATGTAATGTTTCAGTTAAAAAAGGAAGAAAATGAATCAAGGTAATCTCAAGAATAATAGCACATATGTTATAGTACCACATAGTCACAAAAAATCTCCAGACAGCTTTTTTTTTCTGTAGGTAAATACTTCCCAAAAACGTTACCATGAACAAACATTGTATTCACATTATTTTCAGAAAGTTGGTTACTATTCATTATTATTATTGTTTTTAAACGCTTGTGACACGCCAACAAAATCATAGAGTGGGTTAAAACTGTGCAGAACAGAGAAGCATGTTAGAGTTTAACAAAGAACACTGTCACACAAAAAATACACATGATGAACAAACATCATCCCTTTTTTAAACTGCTCATAAAAAAAAATACACATGGAAGTTTTACAAAAGATTTTCAAACAACTGCGATCGTACCATAAAACATCATCATCAATTCATAGGACTTCAGCTACCCTAGACAGCAGCACCAAAAATGTGCCTGTTGGCATTCTCTCTAATGTAGAGCAACGTAATACCATGCTACTCTGGAGTAAGGTCTGAGAAAATAAGGCTGCAGATACTTTTAAAAGCAGTTTCACATCTGAGGATGCAAATCATTCCCCAGAGTACACCGATCCTGATTTTAGTTAACACACAAAGCACAGTCTAAATGACTAGGACTGCAGAGACCATATTTATATCTTAGTAAAATGCCTACTCAAGTTGAAAGGACGAAAAAAAAGTCATATTTTTAATGTGCAGGTTTCCACCATTTTTTTTCCAATAAAATTATGTTCATGTGCACCGAGAATGACAGAGGACAAATATTTCACTGCAGAAGAAGGCATCTACATGGAAGAGCAGGTCAAACCAGCTGGATGTGTCTAGATGTGTCTGAGATAGACGTGTCTTCCTATGATGCTAGAAGATCATGGTACCAGTGTGGGAAAAGGAGGAGCCTATTTCAGTACCCACTGGTACAAGAGGGAACAGCTGTCAGAGCAGACGCTGCTCAGTCAGGGACCGTGTGGCTGTCACTGTTGCCATCATTGTCACTTTTAGTCTATTGCTTTCAGAAAAGGCCATGAGTCATGGGAGAACAAAGAAATGGTCGCCATATCTGCTGAGCGGGTGTCTGGCCACGTTTCAGGGCTGCTGTGCCAGCCGGCGGTAGTGAGGCATGACCTTGCTGTCCGGCAGGTAGAGCGCCATCTCCAAGGCCACCAGCACGGTGAATTCCAGCGCAATGAGCTCCCGCCGGTTAATGCGGAAACGCTCCTCCAACTTCTGCTCAGAGAAGGAAATAAACCGGCAACAAACAAAAGCAAGAAGGACAAGGATTAGGGAGGGAACTGGAGCCGGGTGCAAAAAACGTCTCCTGAAACAACTGAAGAAGTTTTATCTGTTCTAACTGATCTGGCCTAATGCCGCCACAAAGATGCTAATAACCAGCAACAAAGCAGCCTGATGTGGCCGCCGCGCCGACACACTCACGTCGATGAGCAGGCGCACGTCTGGCTTGCGGAGGTCACTGCTGATCTTGGCGGCTAGCAGGACACAGGCCGCCGCCACCAGCTTGCGGTTCTGCTTGTTGAGGCGCCCCTGCAGCACCAGCTTCTCGAAGTAGACAAAGGCCATCGCCACGGTGACCGGCTGCAGGCCGCATTCCTCGCTCAGGGTACGCATCTCCCGCTTCAGACTGCATGGTGGGAAAAGAGAGGGAGAGAGAGAGTGTGTATAAACACACAAACACCAGCAGGGTGGCAGCGACAGGCTATGATGGGTAAAGTTCAGCAACCTAATTAAGACAGAAAGGTGTATAAAGTCTGGAGTAAAGCCATGTAATTTCAAAAATTGTAAATAAGAAAACCAAAAAAAATGCTTAATGTTGGGTTATCTGGGGGCAGACAGGGTTCAGGCTCATGGGAGGTGGTGTGTCTGGGAGCAGACAGGGTCCGGGATTATGGGAGGTGGTGTGTCTGGGGGCAGACAGGGTTATAGGAGGTGGTGTGTCTGGGGGCAGACAGGGTTCAGGGTTATGGGAGGTGGTGTGT